GGAGGGAAAGGGAGATACTGTGGTGGACCCACCGGGTGAGGTGCTCCGCCTGGGATAGAGATGGAGATGAAGGATGAGGCAGGAGCGAGATGGCACAGCGCAGCTCCCACGCAAGACTCCAACGCACGTACTCCAAACTGTGCGGATGTAGAATGATCCGAAATACAGACTCTGGCTGGGGTATACCCCAGCAGACTGACTGGACTGGACTGGACTGGCTGGTACGGACAGAGGTACCGACCTGGACTGGACTACCCCAAATACAACACAGGTCTGTGAGAACAGGCCAAGGGGCTGGTCTCACAGGCCAACCAGAGGTCCGCTACACGATCCTCGGCCTGTGATGGATCGCCTAGATACAAGCACGCTTCCGCCAAGAAGCGGAACTCTACCAAAGAAAAAGAAAACCTGAGTAATGTAGGATCGAAGCAAGCTCCATGTTGAGTCCATGCGATGCAACCTAGAAAAGAAAATGTCACAAAAACAGCAATGTCACAGCTAACAGCCTAAGTGAAAGCAGAAGCAACTAACTAGTATACATGTCCTAGGAAACCAGAAAGCAATGACAACTAAATCCTAGAATGTTGGAGGCAATAGCCTCAGTCTGGAAACACCTGACTAGTGTATGAGTCCTAAGAACAGCAAAAGCAGAAACAACTAAATCATAGAAATGTTAGAGGCAGTAGCCTCAATCTGAGAGCAACAAAGCAACAACAAAACAACCATATGTCACAGGAGAAGTGTGTCGCAAACCACAGGGTGGGATAGTCTCTGAGGGTGGCAAATGCAGCCTAGGGGTCGATAAACTCCTAAGGGCATCCACACATAATGACAGGGAGACACATGTCATCAGGCTCAATGAGGGTAGGGAATTGGGAGCAAACAGAACCAATGACCCTCACAGATAGACCATTAGGGCGGGTAATGCTCGACTAAAGGGGTGACCGCTATGGAAGGTCGACCATGCAGGGGAATAGGGGAGCCTGGTATAATGGGTGCACATAGATGAAGCATGCAAGGCTGCCTAACTAGGGCGTGAGGGCCGGCAGAGGGTTGAAAAAGTGATGGGTAAGGGAATCATGCAAATGACTCTTAAAGTGAGGGAAGTCAGAGGTAGATCCGTAAGCTAGGAAGCCAGGGCAACGCTACGGTCCCAATGCCTATGCGTATACCAAGGGAGAGCCCAACTCAGAGGAACCCGGCTAAAGGGAGACCATCATGCGACACAACAAGGGTACTGTATAGGGTAAGGTGGTAAGAGATCGGCGACGTCTGAAGTAGGCAGAGCTGATCGTGACGAAGTCCATGAAGCTGCTGATGACGTCCATGATGAGAAGTTCGGAATGCCGTCGAGGAAGAGCCGCAATGTCGATGAGCTGAAGTGGCAAAACTGGAGTGGATGGAATACTGAGAAGTCAAAGACGTGGGAAGGTAAGTCAGAGTCTATCGTCGTATCGAGCAGGACGACGACGAGTGCGTTGTGGACGCTCAGAAGCACCCGGCTGCGGTTGAAGGTCTGCCTCAGATTGAGTAGGCTCGACTTCAGCGGTCTCCTCAGCCGATGGAGAAGGAAGAGGGTCAGTGGGATGAGGAGGGGCAGTGAACCCAGCACGACGAGCACGGTCATAGGCATGCACCATCATGCGAGCGTGCTGTAAGTGCTCGAGGGGCTCCCAAGTAGCCTCCTCATCAGGGTAACCCTTCCAACGTACGAGATACTCGACGCGAGGAGGGTTGTCGTCGGTGACTCGGCGACCAATGATGTCTGAAACGAGGAACTCCTCGTGGCCGTCCACCAGGATGGGTGGAGGGCGCTCGTATGGTCGTCCAACGAAACGCTCAAACGGTCTGCGGTAGGGACGCAGTAACGAGATGTGGTAGACATCGTGCACACGAGTCTGGCGTAGGTAGTCGGGCAGCTTCACACGGAAGCTGACCGGGCTAGATGTCGTATTAGAACCGACGACCTGGAGAATGCGGCATGGGCCAAAGAAGTGACGCCGGAACTTGCGAAGCGTGTCCGCTTCGAGTTGTAAGTGACGGGCGTCGACAAGCACATCATCACTGACTTTAAATGGATGATCCATCCGCGATCGGTTCGCACGTGCGGCCATGCGAATCTGGGAAGCGACTATGTGCTCATGCGCGGTCTTCATGATTGACGTCATGTGTGCAACCCAATCATCCAGCGCGGGACAACTCGTGGCAGGATGCATCTATGACGGTCGAAGGGAGTTCGCGGGAACACGAGGGTGATAGCCGAGGTCGCAATAGTAAGGCGATATCCCCGTGGCTGGCGAGACGGCGTGGTTGTAGGTTATCTCCGCGTGGGCAAGATGGAGATCCCACTGCTGGTCGTTACGAACAATCTTTCGGAGGATGTCTCCGAGAGTCCTGTTCGTGACCTCGGTCTGACCATTAGTCTGGGGATGGTAATACGAGGAGAAGCGGAGCTGGGTGTCGTACACCTCGTGGAGCCGTCGCCAGAATCGGCTGGTAAAGCGCGGGTCACGGTCAGATATGATACTCAGAGGTAAGCCGTGGTCTCGCACGACTCGGTCAAACACGATGTCGATGAACTCACGTGCACTGATGGCATAGTGGCACAAAACAAAGCGTGCGCGCTTCGTGAAGCGGTCGACGACGACTAGGATAGCATCATGACCGCGGAGGGTCGGAGGATGAAGAGGACCGATAAAGTCCATCGAGATGGACTGCCAACGACCCTCAGGAATAGGAAGAGGGTGGAGAAAAACATAAGGTAGGTGGTTCGCACTGTTCACCTCCTGACAAGTGGGACACTCTGCGACGTAGTCCTTCACAAAGTTCTTGCGAAGCCAGCTGTACAGGCAGCTCACACGAGCAAACGTCTTGTGGAAGCCCATATGACCAGCGACTGCCTGGTCATGGAACTCTGCTAGTGCCCGGACGCGTAGCTGTCCAGTGGAGGGAACGCAGGTACGGGGCTCTCTGGTGCCCTGTGAACCGTGCCTGTACACAAGACCGTTGTCCCCGAGAGAGTAGTTCGGGACGGTCTTGCCACTCCGAAGAGTTGCATGGATGTCGCGATAGTCGGGGCAGAGGCGGTACTGAGTGCGAAACTCGTCGGTCACCGAGTGGTGGACGGTGGTGACCGAGATGGCAGTGAGCTGGATCTGCTCCATATCATGGTCGGGGCGCCGGGATAAGGCATCTACGACCCGATTAATCTCACCCTTGATGTGCTCAGTGGTGAAACTAAACTCGAATAGTGACGCCACCAGCGAGCCTGTCGAGGAGTGAGCTTCGGCTTTGTCATAAAAGCCTGGACAACAGAGTTGTCCGTGCGCACCGTGAATGGTGCCCCGTGCAGGTAGTGACGCCAGTGTCGAGCGGCATAAACTATAGGAACCTCACGTTCATCAGCAGTGTAGTTTATCTCGACAGGCAAGAGCTGACGGGAGTAGAAGGCTATCGGACAATCACCTGAGCGAGACTCGACAGTGTTGTCCTCGGCGATGGTAAGAGAATAGTCAATAGAAGGCTCATCGGTAGCTGGACGAGTAGACGCCAGGCGGGAAGCAGTGGTAGGGGTAGGAGGTGGGAAGTAAGGGATGCGAGGATGAGAGGAATCAGGAGAGGGGGGGAAAATATGAGAAAGCACTGCTCCTACAGCAAAGTCTAACGCATCGGTGGTAAGGATAAAAGGGCGGTCAAAATCGGGTAGGTGAGAACCGGTGCACATGTCACCGCCTTCTTGAGGGCGCGAAAGGCATCCTCGTGGAGGGGTGTCCAAGCCCATGGCAGGCTCTTCTAGAGGAGGGTGGAGATAAGGACGTAGGAATACCTATCGTATCCCTGGATGAAATTATTATAGTAGCTCGTGAGGCCTAGGAAGCTGCGAAGCTGCTTGGCGGATGTGGGGACGGGCCACTCCGCAATAGTAGTGATCTTCGCGTCATCCATGTGGAGACCCTGGTCACACACGTAGTGTCCTAAGAAATCCACTTTCTGCTGGGCAAAGCGGCACTTGCTCAGTTTGGCGCAGAAGCCATGTCTGCGCAAGCGATCAAGGACGTCGCGGAGGTGTCTGAGATGCTCCTCAAGGGTACGACTGTAGACCAAGATATCGTCGAGGTAGACGAGAACGTACTGTTCCAAAATGTCCCTGAAGATGTCGTTCATCGCCCTCTGAAAGGTAGCGGGTGCGTTGGTGAGGCCGAATGGCATCACCGTAAACTCATAGTGGCCGAAGCGCGATCGGAACGCTGTCTTCGGCTGGTCCGCTGCAGCGACGCGGATTTGATGGTAACCACTACGAAGATCAATCTTCGTAAAGAAGCGGTTGCCTGCTAGGCGGTCGAACAGCTCGTCGGAACGAGGCATGGGGTAGTTGTTCTTAACCGTGTAGCGGTTTAGACCGCAATAGTCGACGCAGAGACGGAGAGTTTCATCCGCTTTGCGAGCAAAGAGGACGGGTGCACCCCACGGGGAGTTGCTGGGTTTAATGAAACCCAGTCTCAGAAGCTCCTCAATCTGACGCTTGAGTTCGGTGGCCTCGGGGATCAAGAGCCTGTAGGGTGTCTGGTGATGAACACGATAGTCAGGCACAAGTTGGATGGGGTTCTTGACGTCGCGCATCGGTGGGATGCCGGCGTACGGGAACCACGATGGGAAAACGTTGTGGTACTCTCGAATGAGGTCACGAACTGCGGGCTCCAGGTCGGCCATATAGCGTGCGAGTTCCTCAGCGTCAGCATCGGCGCGCGACGAGGGGGTGGACTCGACGGACGACGGAGGGTGGGAAGTAGAGATGGGAGCCATGGAGATAGGAGGAGGATCTGGCTCCAGAGGAATGAGCTCGGCGTCGGGACCGTGTGGATCATAGTGTAAGAGATCCGTAACGTTCACCATAAAGAAGGTGACGTCGTCCTGTCGGATGAAGTGAGCGAACTGCCGAGCCGAGGTGACAGTGATCGTAGGAGATGTTGTGGGCATGGAAGGCTTCGGGGAAGGAGGGTCGGGGTGGGGTGTCGCAGTGGTACCTATGAAAGGTATGCGATACGTCTGTCCACACTTCGTTTTAAGAACGAGAGTGTTGGTCGCCCAATCGGCCTCGGTGCGGCGAACCGACGAGACCACGGAGTACCGAAAATGAAATCGTACCCCGTCTCCATCACATCGAAATGTGCAGAGGAGCGGTGGCGACGGGACGCCGGGGGACGATCAGTTGGCTCAAGGGTGAGGAAGAAAGGGAGGTCGGTGATCGTCTGATCAAAGAAGCGCTGGGTCTTGTCATCTCCTAGGGTGACGGAGATGGGAGTCGGAGACCCTGTCGTGGGTAAGCGTGCTTCTTCACCACACGTGGGTGAATGAAGTCACCCTGAGAACCGGAATCCCACAGTGCTGAGTACACCCTCATGGAGGTCCCGAGTCGTACTGGAATGATCGGGAGGGTGCGATCAGAGTCAGAGAGGATGGCGAGAAGGCGACGCAGTGCAGCGACATGGAGGGTGAGTCGCTCATGACGAGCCTGGAGCATGCTCAAGTCCAGCAGGGAGGACACAACATCCTCGCGAGTCGCAAGCTGCTCGCTGCAACGGGCTGAGCGAATGGCTCGACGCATCGGTAATCGCGGATAGGTAGGAGGGGAAACGGTGGTCTGCGGAGGCGTAGATAGTACGGCAAAGGAGGGCTTCGTACACTCTGTTGGGTCCTGCGATACCTCAACTCCAGTAGCGAGAGGGGCAAGCCGCGACGGAGATGTCGGGAAGCCCACTACTGAGGAGGGCGCAGGTGTACACTGCACCGTGGCTAGGAGGCGCCGCGGGGATGCGAGGCGCAGGGGGGGGAAAGAGCTTGACGCTGGCAAGAGAGCTCAGCGTAGTGGCGGTCGCGGGCGGCGGTGTAAGGGCACCGCGAGGAGGTATGACCGTCCTGGCGGCAGCGCAAACACGCATGCCGGCCCAAAATGGTCGCGCGATCCTCGACGGAAAGGACACCACGAGGAGGGACAAAGCCCTGAGGGAGGTCATGCTGAGGGACCTCAGGGCGCGACGCGCCAGCGTGACTAGGGCGGCTGCGTGCCCGAGAGAGGGAGGAGAGGGCGAGCTGGAGGCGCTCATCTATAGGGAGGGTAGAGTCCTCCAGGTGGGAGTGGACGGCCTCGCAGAGGTCGAGGTCGTCGTTGTGGTCACCCTTAGGCAATAGTGGGGTAACAGTGTCCTGCTCACTATACTCGAGCGCGCTGAAGCGGCGCGAGAAGTGGAGGCCCTGCTGCGCGGAAAGGCGGGGGGGACCGCGAAAAGGGGAACGACGCTGGGAAGTGTCGTGAGAGGAGAAGGGGGCGTAGCCAGTACGTTGAGGTTGGGAGGAGGAAGCGGGGTGAAGGCGGGTCCGCATCCGCTGATGGGTCCTGGCGGCCTCGTAAGCCTGCGGGGTCGATGTGAACTCGTACCGCCATAACTCGGAGCGGTACTCAAGGGGAAGGCTGGCCAAGAAACAATCGATGAGGGCAGGCTTGGGGAGGAACGCCACATCACAAATGAGGCGGGCGTCTTGAAAGACCTGGATGTGGCGGTCCAGGCCAGCAGCGCCACCAGAGTTGGACCGGCGTGTGCTGACGACGCACTCGAAGGCGTCGGTCACGTCGTGCCAGGCTCCGAAGCGATCCTCGAGGAACGCCTGGAAATCCATGAAGGTCGGGGTCCGACCCTCACGAAGGTAGTGAGCATAGAAATCCTCCCAAGCATCGAAAGGACCGCCACGCAGGCGCGTGGAGAGGTGAGCCACCCACGTGTCGGGTGGGGCGCCCATGAGCTGGAGCGTGCGGGTGGCAGACTATAGCCACCGAGACACACGTATCCTTGTACCATCATACAAGGCAATGTCCGTCAAGCGGACGAGTGGTGCGCCACCGGTCTGGCGGCGAGGAGATCGAGGAGCAGAGGTCTGCGCTACGGCTAAGTAGGTTGGCGCATGTCCTGGAGAAAGGGGCGCAGCTGACTGTACGCCCGGGCCACACGGGGGAGCGGCGGGGGCAACAGCGGCAGGCTGCGAGGGAGCTGCGGTAGAAGAGGTCGCAGCACCCAGGAGAATAGGAAGAAGGCAGGATGGGGGTGGGTAGGGTGCAGGGCGAGGGAAGCGAGCCTGCATGGAAAGAAGTGAAGAGGAAGAAGGGGGTGTGCCCGAAGGCGCGGCCACCTGTGAGGGTGGGGGTAGCTGAAGGCGTAAGAGGGCAAGGTGAGCCCGAGTCTGGGCAAGCTAGTCCTCGAAACGTCGAACATAGAGTGAGCGAGGAGTGGCAGGAGTAGACGCACGAGCGGCGCGAGGCATTCCACAAGGGGAAGAGCCAGATGGCACTACGGTCGTGCGAAGGGGAGGGAGGAGTGGGGAACCAGGAAAAGCTGAGACCGCGGCAGGGGGTTATGGTCCCATGGCCGTAGTGACCGAAGTCTGGGCGGGTGCGGCCGCAGAGTGAGGAGAGGCCTGACCCGTGGCGGTCGTCGCGCTAGGGGCGTGGACGGTCACCAGGATGGCCGGGTCGTGGGCAGCGGAGGAGGAAGCTCCACCGTGGCCACCCCCTCGGAGGACTGGAGACCCGGACTGGGAGCCAGGAGAAGAGAGAGAGTCAGGAGATGAAGGACAAGCAACATCCTCGAGTTGCCGCATGCCAGCGGCAAGAGTCGCCACCTTCGCCTGTAGGGGTGCGAGGGTCGTCAGTTGCGCCTGGATGGGTGCGAGGAGGGAGGTGAGGAGGGTGTGCAGATCCCCCTAAGGGCTGATGGCCCTGGTCCGCCGACACGGGTGTGGAGCCCGGTGCCGAGGTCATCGCCGTGTCGGCGGCTTGTGACACGCCGTCGGCCATAGAGAGGTGACGGGCCGGACTGGCGGGGGCCAGAGGAGGTCCGCGTGAGCGGAGGGCGTAGGGGGGGGTCGGCGGTAGAAAGCGGCGGATGGCGCTAGCAAGGCTAGCACGGGCGCCGTCAAAAGGGGGAGGGGTGGTTCGGGTCCAGGGTGCCCGAATGAGAAGGGGAAGTAGGGCGGGGGGGGTTAGGGAAACCTTAAACCTTAGAAAAACCCTAAGAAACCCTAAAAAAACCCTAACCGGAGTTTGGGTGGTCAGGGTAGGGTACCGGTGACCTAATCAAGAAAATAAAATAAACAGTGAAATTTCGAGAGAAAAATAAAAATAAATAAATAATAAAATAATTAAGGAAATAAGTAAACAAAATATGAAGAGAGAAATAATATTTATTTCTTTTGGAATTTTCGGCAGCATTTCCCTACCCCCCATGGGGTCAAGAATGTGCCAAGGGAAAGAAGAGACCAAGATAAGAAAAAAATTCAGAAAATAACTAAAGAAATAGAGAAGTAAATAAATAAATAAGTAGATGAGGAGGTGAAGAGAAATTAAGTGTTGGATTTTTTTAAAATTTCGGCAGCATTTTGTTACCCCCATGGGGTCGAAGTGTGCCATCAAGAAGAAAGGCTAAGTAAAATGAGAAAATTTTGGCAGCACTTCGTTACCCCCACGGGGTCAAAATGTGTGTCGAAAGCAAGAATGACGAACTCCTAATCAGATTTAAGGTTGCCGCAAAGGAATTCGAATTTTCAGAATAAATAAAAATAAAATAAAATAAATCAGAAAAAATAAGAAAAGAAGGTGGGGAATAAGATAATTCGAATTTTTGGAAAAAGAGGAAATATAAATAAAAAGAAAGATAAAAAGAAGAAAAACAGAAATTTTTTTGAAGTTGGGGGGAAGGGGAATGAAAAAGTGAAGGAGAAAAAAGAGAAATAGGTGGGAGAGAGAAAAAGAGTGAAGGGGGGAGATGGGGGAAGTGATGGGGTTGTAATTGGGGGAGAGAAGGGTGAGAGAATGGGAGAGAAAGGGATGGAAAAGGTGGAGAGGGATCAAAAAGCAAAGAGAAAAGAGGAGAGAGAAAAGAGGAGAGAAAAAAAAATAAAAAATAAAAAATAGAGGAGAATAGTGAGTGGTGGGAAAAAAGGTGAGGTGGGGAGAGGGGTATGAGTAGTGAAAGTGATTAGAAGGAAGTGAGTGGGGTGAGTAAGAGGAGAGAGAGGAGGTAGAGAAAGTGGATTAGTGGGGAGAGGGGAGAGGGAAGTGATACCTAGCCCTTGGTGTCTCCAAGGGCACAAGGTATACCAAGACCAAGACGGTCTTGGCCTTCATGGCAGCAAGCCAGCTCCAGGAGAGAGGGGGCTGAGATCTTGATCAGCCCCTAGCAGCAATACTGCAGATCTGCAGATCTAGGGTATGCTGTGTGAGCAGACCCTTAGCAGTGTAGAGCAGCCCCCTGAGCAGGGGGGTCTTTAGTTTCACACAAGCTGCCACGTGGCACTGCAGATGGCCACGTGTGCAGGCAGCAGCAGCTACCGGGGGGGGGGGGGGGGGGGGGGGGGGGGCAAATAGCAGCCCGGCCGTTGCTGCCCTGCTGACCACTGCTCGCCGGGGGAGTGTAAATAGCTGGCACGCACCTCTTCAACGGCTGTGTGCCGCACTACAAAACATGCACACATTGTGTTGAGTGTGTTATGGCAGCAGCTACGCACGCGCATAGCCAGCAGCTGCCCAGGTTCAAACCCCGACAGCAGCATGCATCCTGGATCTTGATAAAATAAATCCCGGAGCTGCGAGGGGCGGGGCGGGGCAATGGGGCAGCGTGGGCACGTGGCGCGTGTGCAAACAGCGAAAAAAACCACTGTCGGGTTTTGCTGTTTTTCCCTGTTGTGCGGTGTGGCGGGTGGGAGCGGGGAGCGTTCCTGCTCCGATACCAGTGTGGCGGACCCACCGGGTGAGGTGCTCCGCCTGGGATAGAGATGAAGATGAAGGATGAGGGAGGAGCGAGATGGCACAGCGCAGCTCCCACACAAGACTTCAACGCACGTACTCCAAACTGTGCGGATGTAGAATGATCCGAAATACAGACTCTGGCTGGGGTATACCCCAGCGGACTGGCTGGACTGGACTGGACTGGCGGGTACCGACAGAGGTACCGGCCTGGAATGGACTTTCCCAGATACAACACAGGCCTAAGAGAACAGGCCAAGGGGCTGGTCGAACAGGCCAACCAGAGGTCCGCTACA